AAAGTAAGTTTTTCATGCACATTCAAACCGCACTACAAAACATAAAGAACTCAAAAGTTATTTCAGTATTCCCATAAAACAATATGGAAAAATAATATCTAAAATGCGCAAAAATATTATTAGTAAATCTGCATTGAAGCTACACAGCACAAAGTTGATGCTTTGAAAATCCACTTACGTAGCAGGGCTAGAGTGGCAGGACTGAGGACGAGTATGTAATTCAGTAATTCAGATGACAAAAACTTTTTCAATTACGAGCATGGACGTCAAAAGAGACTGAAGTCGGCAAAGCATTCGAAGAGTGGGGGGAGTTTATATGGTTGGTGCTCGTAGTTATTGCTGCCACACAGCCAAGTAGACTAGCAGTCAGGCAAGGCACACGTGCTTGCAAATATGTATATGTGGCGTGCAGCAAATGTGCCACATGTGGCAGCTACCCTTCGGGCGCTAAGGTAAGAGAAGGCGCGCGTGACTGCAGTGGCAAAATAAAAATCCGACTTCGTGTGCTGGGAATGGGGAGCAAACCGCACAAAGCCAGCCACAGCTACATACAAACACCCAAAGCAAATGTGACTAAATAACAGCAAAGAAAAAAAAAACACCAACGAATTCACTTCGCAGATGAAAATGGCACGAAATGGAACTAGTAAACGTAATGAAATGAAAATAATAATAATAACAGTAACTTAGTTTAAGCCAATTTTCGCTTGTGATCCACGACAACGGTGAAAGGAAAAGCGCACTAGCTGAAGCCTTCATAGTCAGCTAACCACAAAAATGCCAATTTTAGCAACCAGCTACAAGTACAGGTGAGACACAGATAGTGCAATAATATGGCGGCACACGAATAGCCTTACGTGCATACAATACATAGAAATACATACTTACTGGCTTGAACTTTTACGTGCAGCATAAAAGTTATATGCAGCCCCAAACAAACCATTGGTTAGGAGAGAAGTACAGTTGAGGTGTGGAAAATGAACGCGAGGGAGTCATGAGCTAAATAGGCGAAGGAATTCACACAATTCCATTTCGTTGCCTAGTAAAAATATGGCATAATATTTTATTATAGACTGCAAGTCTAAGCCTAAGCAGATTGGCAGAGACTGTAAAGAGCATATAAAATACCTTTGGGCAAAAAGTATACTCAGTATACATATGTAAGTATGTACACGAGCCTGTGAGTGGTTGAGACCTATGTACAAAATTCCGACAATGTTAGCTGAGCACAGCGAAGAATCATATAAAAATAAAGGCCAAAGATGCAGAGACAAAAAAATATTATGCTTAAAATAAAAGTAAATAAAATTTGAAAGTGAGTTTTAGGTAGTATTTCGCAAATTCCATTTGTTCCACTAAAGCAAATTTTTTGCCAGTTGGACTTCTATGCTAAATTATCTTTAAAAACTATACAAACTCTTCGTGTTTCGAAAATTTCACATGTTCCCCTAACATTTTTTTTTCAAATTCATATAAGTTTCAGTAATTTTAGTGTACAAGGAAAAGGAAAACGTAATACTATTCCAAACTGCAACCTGTTTTAAAATTTCTCAATTTGGAGTTGGCCTACAGCAAAATATTAAGACACCTATTTTCGCAATTTGGTAAACTCCAAATAAATTTTTTTCGGCAAATTTTCTTAGAACTACACGTAGATTCCTTTTGTGTTATACGCGCGTAGTCGAAAAATCGCCCATAAAAATTTACCCTCCCTAATGTACATAGTACGTAGATGTACGTCTATTGTGCGTAGCAGTTGAATAGCAGGCGTATTAATGGGTCAAAAAAATAATTAGCTTTGAAAAGGAAAAGCTGCTATATTTTGAAAATTCCATGGGTAGATTTAAAATATAAAAACTGAAAGTTAACTTCTTATCGAAAAAATGTTATCGACACAAAAAGATGCTTTCAAAGTCTCGTTTAAAATTTTAGCTAAGTTTTATTTTTTTCCAATTCATAAAGATATAATGCGAAAATATCTGACGGGAATCAGGTCGCAGAACTCAAAATTTTCAGGTCTTAAGAGTTGAATTTTGGAATACATACATATCGTCGTTTAAAGAACAAAACCGCGTATCGCCGTTCTGGAAAACTGCGTAAGGGACATTTTTTATCAAAAATTGGATTTGCTCACCGAAGCCTCTGGCTGAAGCCTTATCCATTCGTCCTAAATATACTAGACAGAAATGCGATTGCTTTATGAAAGAGAGAACAAATTTGACTTATGAGAGTTTTTACTCTCTAGAAAATAATTTATGCAACCTCACATACGCGGCTTTGAATTACGAGGATATGTGGTTTTGTACTTTAAACGACGATATGTATGTATATTAGAATCTCCTGCTGTGCAGATCTCAAAAAAGTACACAGTTTCGAAAATTCCACCCGTTCCAGTAAATTTTTCTTAAAAATTAACTCGAGTATGTTTTTTTCAATAGAGAATGCTTGTAAAAATCACCACAATGTTACTGTTTCGAAAATTCCATATATCAATCATTACAAAAGCTCCAAGTTTTAAACTCATTTAAAACATATTCACGTACAAAAGCTCTAATATTTGCTTTGTTTCGAAAATTCCATTCGTTCCTTTACTATCCCACTTAGCTAAATTACAACGTTGGACTCTAAAATGCAAGTACTCCGAAAATTCCACTTGCTCCAATCACCAAATTATCAAACTAATTAATACGAATTTTGTCCCCGTGTACAACAACCAAAATTCACACAGCATTACCCATTCGCCTAAGAAATTTAATTTGCACTAAATTTGCACGACTCACATCAGGTCAACTTAATTCGCGAGTGCAACAAATATACATATTTATGGCAGTTACGTGTAGACTGCACAAACGTGCCTCCTCAGGCTCTGTTAAGCAGTGTTGCAGCATCTTGAGCGCAACATATTCGACATCGAGCGCCTATTTCTGCGCTTACCTGACGGCCTCTAGCCTGCTGCCATGCTGCCGTGCTGCATATCCTCATAATCCAGTTTGTTGTAGGCAGCTTAAGTTGACACACAACGCAGCTGCGCATACATACATACACACAAATGTATGGATGCCATTTACCGCCATGTCACGAAATTTCGTGCTGCAAAAGCAAATGATCACCTTGCCGCAAGCAAACTCGTACACAGCTATGAATGTATTTTCGTTTATTGCGAGTCCTTTGATAGGCCGCCTTGCCGATTTCGGCTGCCTACCACTATCACCCATTTACCGGTAGTCCTTCCTGCAACATAGGCTTAGGGGCAGCTCAGCGCTGGGCGAGCTCAGTGTACTTTAGCAGCAGAAGCAGCTTTTGTGCCTTGTATAACTCGCTGTACTAAATACATATCACTGCCTGAGCGGATTGGCTGGACGTATTTCAATAAGTGTCGAGTCACGTGTGTGTATGTGTGGGTGTATGCTAGCTGGTTTGTGCCTCATAGGTTATGCAATTTTGTGATGAAAAAAAAAAGAAACATATGTACACCCATGTACGGTCACACTAGCGCCTCACGGTCTCACGTCTTTACCGTTTGGTCATGCTAACTGGCTTTTGCAGCGTCATCCAATTCCAACGGCAGTGTTGACGAAGTGGAAGTTGTACGGGCGAACTATTTCATATTCCAGATTTCATACTCTATATGAATTGGGGAAGTGTGTATATTTTGGGGATTAAGCAGTATAACAAGGTGATGTCACAGCTAGGCCATCAGAAAAACAAAAAAAAACAGTAAATAAAGTACATGTTGGGAGGACTGCACAGGCTTATATGTATATACATAGTTGTTAGTATAGTGTAACTGAAAAAATTTGTTCGCTGGCATGCTGCCAGACATGTCTACCAGCTAGCAGTTTGTTGCAAGTGCTTATATGCACTAGGGTGGTCCCAAAATGCATGTTAAAAAGTACAGTCGGAATTTGTATGCTCTAACTCCATAGGATTGTTCCATACCGAAAAAAATGTACCCTTATTTTTTTTTTTTGAAATCAACAAACATTTAGCGGTCGCTCAAAGCGCCCAAAGTTATCCATGTATTTTATATGGGGAAAAAACAACTTTTCGTAGAAATGGTATAGAATAATTAAAAATCTATATTTTTTACCAGAAAACTGTGTTTATCTGCAGGAGATTCCAAATAATAATACCCAGTTGCTTATTTAAACATCTTTTCATCGCAACTATAATTTATAGGTCCGCCAAAAACCCATTAAAAATGCAATGGGCGGACCAATAAAAAGGCGGTAGTAAAAAAAGTGTAAATAAACAATTGGGTATTATTATTGAAAGTCTTCTGAAGGGAACCAGAGTTTTCCGATCGAAAAATATTGATTTTCAAGAATTATATTCCATTTCTACGAAAAGTCTTATTTTTCCCATATAAAAATACACGGAAAACTTTGAGCGCTTTGAGCGACCTCTAAATATTTTTTGATTTTAAAATAAAAAAATACGTGGGTATACTTTTTTTCGATATAGAACAATCCTAGGGGGTGAGAGCATTACAATTCCGACCTAACTGTTTTTGGACCACCCTAATATACACACACCAACATATGTACATACATGTATGCATAGGCTCATATTTTTCTACAGAAAAATATCAAAGCCTGAAGATTTGCTGCGGCTTAAATGTGACATGTTTATGCGAAAGAAGCTGAGTTTATTTACTTGAACTCAAGAGACTAGACTTACTCGACTGGCATGTGTAATAACCTAAATCGACCTATGTACATAACCATCATGTTAGTAACACTCTAGGGAAAATAAATGGGCACAAAACTCCAGTTAAAATTGACGAAGGATTGATTTCTGGTGATTATTAAAAATTATTAAAAATATCCTCAACTTTCTGCCTCATTACTCGATATACTTCTGACTAAGCTTTCATTGACTTATAAATATATACTCGATAACTGTAGCAAAATTGAGCTCCGAGTTGTCTTAATCTCTCTTATTTCATACAAGTACCTATGTATTCTCATCCGAAATTTGTATGTTCTTTCTCTTTCCAGCTTCCGCATCAATCGCATTGAGTCACCGATTCTGAAGTATGACGGCGACTGCGGTGAATCGCTTACAATTTACGACTCCGATCATCCCGATCCGGCACGTATTATCAAAACCTTCTGCGACACATTTTCGCGACCCATGGAAAAGGTGGACTTCGTGAGCACCAGTCCCTCGCTATACGTGCAATTCGACTCGAAAACCGGTTCCTACAGCGGCTCTTCGCTTTACTACTGGGCACACTACGACTTCTTCAATAACACCCGTTTCGGTGATCCGGTGCCAAATACACTCTGCGATGAGGTTATGTACGCCTGGAAGCATCCGGGTGGTAAGATACGCTCGCCAATGAACTCGCTCATCTTCAAACGCACTGGCGGCTCTGATGTACGTTGTCAATATAAATTCGTCACCGATCGTCGGCTCTATGCGCGCGCTGTCATCGAAGTCACTTCGGTTTCGTTCAAAGAGTTACCTTACAACAATAACGCCTGCACGCGTTGCCATGAAGAGCGTGTCGATAAGTTGGTGATTTGGGAGGAACGCGAGAAATTCCAGAACAATCTCGCCTGCTTCTGCGATAATATACCACGCGCAGTACGCGTCATCTCCTCCGCAGATCAGATGAATCTCGAGATGATTGTGCAGGGTCAACACGCAATCACGTCCTATTTCAAGAATCCCAATCCACTATTCGAGGCGTCTTATGAGTTTGCGCACGGTCCGCTATGCGGCCCCATAACACTGGGGCCCTCGCCCGATGGCGAATTGGTATTTCCCTTCAAGAAGGCATTGGCGATGGCGGCGGGCCCAATGGCCGCCGTGCCTGAGCATCATTATCGTCGCGAAAAGTGCATTTGGGAACTGAAAGTGGCGGCACAGCGCGACCTGTGGTTGAATTTGGAGAAAGCGCGGTTTGCCGATCGCACTTGTGACAGCGCCAAAATCGAAGTATACCTTGCGGGGCGACTCGAGCCACGTTTCATTATGTGCCCCGAAAATATCTCCTTGGCGCGCGATCTACCCATACTCTCGGCAGCCGATCTGGGTGCGCTTGGCGCCGATCAGGAACCACTGCCAGTGCTGATACAATACACCGGCGATGGGCAGCCGGGCAAAAATGCCTTCCGTTTAGTTTGGACCGAACTGTTCCATTTGCCACGCAATCCCGATGGTAGTTTGGCATCGTCGTTGCTGCAGGACGGTGGCTGCGACTTCCGCTGTCCGGGCGACACAGAGGTCTGCATACCACGCCACCTGCTGTGCAACGGTGTCGACAATTGTCCGAACGTGACGCACATCTCTACGATGGCTCAACTAACGCGGCACATTGAGTGGAATTTGGAGCAACTCGGTCTGCTGCATCGCGCGCACGCCTACAAGGATCTCGTGCTGAACGATGAATCGGCAGAGATATGCCTGCGTCAGGAGTTGAGTGAATTGCCCTATGGCAAGCTGATATTGATCACGCTGGGATTGAGTTTGATGCTGACGCTATTCGTGGCGATATTGTGCCGCATGTTTCGGGGGCCGGGTCATGCCTACCACAGCAGATACTAGAGGTACGAGTTGTGGTTGCAAGGCAAACCGCTGGGCGTGCACGTGTAGCAGTTGTGTGCGCAGCGGGGCAGGCAGATGTACGAAATCGGCCAAGGCGATAGTGGAGTGGAGGAGCGGCGGATGTAAACTGCTTCGGGGAAGAAATATATTTTTAGTGTGGAAGTAATAAGTGTTAAGTTTTGATTTTTTATGTAGTTACACCTAAGTATTGTACCTTTTTGGAATACCCACTGAGCGAAAAATACATACATACATACATAGTTGCCTGCTAAGTAGTAGTGATTGAGAAGGCATTAAACAAATAAATAAAATGTAATTGAAATGCCTAATTGGTGGTATACATACAAGAGAGTGTTGAGCATCTAAACTGAGGTTTAGACTTTTGTATTTGCATTGTGGATCTCGGTTTTATTGTAACAGACTAGCAGAATTTTTGTAAAACCGGGCTTTGTCCATAAAGCTTGTAGACACTTGGCGTGTGATGTTTTGATGTAGAAAAGTAAGTTTAAGTAAATGATTCGATCCATACGACTTTCCTCACCAAATTTTGTATTATTTCGAAAACAAAAAATTAGTTTTTCAATTACCGGAAACTTGAGCAAAATAAAAGCTCTAAAGCTGAGCATATAATGGAGCGATGAAAAGTGTAATAAGCAAAGCGACCAAAAGGAGACAAAAAATTGGAACATAAGACAGCAATTAATAGGCAGTTACAGCGCCAAATAAGAAGAAGAAGGAGCTCTTGCATTCAAATGTGTATACCTCTTTCCGTCGCTCTACTATATTCTCTGCCTATGGAACTAAGGGAGCTGTTGAAATTCGTAATAATTCTTATTCGATGCGAATTATATAGCCTCTTGCCAATTTCAGTCAACTATGTCCTACGAATAAAAAATGAGCTCAAGTTTAGACTCAAAACAGTAAACCGCATCTGGGCCCCAACTCACTTTCGGTTCATAAGATGTTATACTCGTAAATATGTATGTATTTGCATTGTCCTTTCACCGTCTTTGAAATATCAACTGCCAATGGCACAAATAAATTTGTGATTTTTTATTAAATACATACATATATGTACTACATAACAAAAAGTAAGTTTTTGATATTATGAAATTATGAATTAATTAGATACTCGTTTAGAGGGAAAAAATTACAAAAAAAATATTAAAATAGACACATTGCAATAATGACTTATATACTTTATAAATCAAGCAATTACTTTAATCAATAATATTTCCTTTAACTAACTACTTAGAGCTCAAAACTATTTGAAAATTTTAGCCACAAACATTAGCATCTGTCATGCTTCAACGATTTTGCTTAATCTGTAATTCAAATATTAGTTGACGTCTTGCAAGGCCGCAAACAGGAGCCCCCCTCTTTCGAACTTTAGTTACTTTAAGTTAGATAACCATAGACTTTGGCATTGAATATGGTCTCTTCCCACATAAACTATCTTTGAGAGAGGCTTATAGACCCTCAGGAAACTGTAACGAATTTCAAGCTGAGACATATGCAACTGGCATGACGTTAGGATTAGGCGAAGCGACCATCCTTGAGATCTTTAATTTCATGAGTTAAGGAGAAGGCTATAGCAGGTGAACCAATTACTAGCTCTAAAAAGTGGGTGCGATCACTCAAATTCAGTACCCAGTACTAAAAACTCGGGTTTTTCGAAACTGGTAGCCGGCATAAAAACCGATTTAATTTTTGAAATCAACGTGAAGTAGTCCTTGTAGGAGTGAAGTTTCAATAAAATACGACCACTTCTTGAATATTTTTATACTTGTTAATTTGTGCGTCAGTGCTAGTAGCAGCGTTGCGATATTTAATTGTCAATAGTTCTAAATTAATTAAAAATATTTCCTGTCAAATTGAAAGATAGAACAATAGAATAGAATATTCTTCTGAACAGCATGGTACCATTTTTATCCTGCATGAAATTTTTTCCTACAAATGGAGCCAGATTGACTAGATGTACTACTACCCAGCAAAAATTTGGAGTCATAAACGAGTCTTTAAGGAGTCCTATTTCGGAGCCTTTACGCTCATAATGAGCTCATTTAAGAGCCCATGAGGGTGTTTCCCTTCCTCCGACTTATATGAGCTTAAATTCATACATACACTGGCAATTAAAACCGAGTGCATGTACGACTTTTTATTACTTAAAGTAGCATAACTTGTTTTTTAATGAGCGAATTTCCTTGAAATTTTCAGCAATTGGTCCTTATTATCCAAAGAATAATGCCTAGTATATAGAAAAGCTAAGTTTAAACAAGAAATAAGCGATTCACAGCAAACGCCTAACGCAACTGTTTTCACTCAGTTTTGAACTTTTCTGTTTCGTGACTTTTGAAGGTTAATACCAATAGGATTGTGGGGACTTCCCCGTTTTCAATTGCAATTTTAATAAGTCCGAGAATGCTGTCCACTGAGTTTTCTATGATTTCGCTTGATATATTATCCAACGTACTTCCATGTTACGCGGAGCTTGTTTGTGCTTTGGCAAATCCCCTCTTGACCACAGCGCAAAATTTATCGATGGCGTTGAGATCTGGACTTTGTGCTGGTCACAGAATAACGTGAACATTTTGTTTGAGCAGCCGGTTGTGTCGAATCTTTTCAGAATTCTCTGGATCTCCGTCCTGCTGGCAATCGACTTCTTCCTCAGGGTATGCGCTTTTGTCTACAAAGACCGGACAATTTCTTCATTATTCCTTTAATTTTAACTAATGGCACCAAATATCACCGAGTAAAATAACCAAAAACTATTAAGCTGACACCGAAAGTTTATAAAATACACGAGAATTGTAGCTTAGAATCTTAAAAACGGGTACTTTGACCTGATTGAACGAAAATTAATTGATGGAAAGGAATATTTTTGTGGAAGACGCCATGTCAAGAAAATTTTCTAATATGGGGGGTGTTTTACTTGGCGAAATTTGGTGGCGTTAGTTAAAATTAAAGGAATAATGAAAAATTAGGTCTATCTCCAAAAACAACAGCGTCAAACAGGAATTAGGGGTCATGGCACATACTGCCTTGTTCTAGGAGACTATAATTAATGGGATTAGAATTTTTGAGTACCTGAGTGTAGGAGGAAAGTGTTGAGAATACGGCAACTACTCAAATTTGTAGACTTCAATTTATATAGAAATGTGTGCACAAGGGTCTTAAAATGGGATCAACGAGCCTACATATGTGTGGCAATAGTATCTTCTGGCAGCCCCTTCACACTAACTCAATCAAGTGCAAACTCATTGCCATAGTCTGTATATCATTTCTCCTAACAAGCCATTTTACCGCAACCAGCATATTGTTGTGACTATTTCCAAAGTCAAAATCTTTTCTTACAGGGAACGTTTTATGCCTACTTCTTCTGCAGGACGATTGCGAGTGATGGCTTTGTTGTAGCGGCTACTTAGTCAGGAGGCCTAAGAAGTGCGCAGTTTGGACGAGTTTGACGAGTTAGCGACATGCGGGGCTTCTTCAAGTGCCCATGTCTGCGGAGGCAGGTTTTTAACCCCACAAAAACAGTTATTCATACTTGAGTTTTTTCGGCTAAGTGCTGCGTTCGACGATCTAAGCGTTTGGCAGTGGGCTAACTCGACCAAGCGTATTTCTAACTTTGCTTTTTACAAATTTTTTCAAGATGACGAAGAATATTAGTGGTCGCTCACTAAGCACTCTAAGTTTTCCCCACGTATTACCAATGAGCGCACTAATTGTTGGAAAACAATGAAGTAGCTCACGTTTAGCAGTACTCTAATTATGACAGTCGAGATTTGGTGAAAAACGATTCGAAAGTTCCAGTTACGGTGCTCGATAAGAAGTCAAATCATCAGTTTTAATTTCGTTGGAAACGTTGCTTTGGAAGCGTTGGATTTTCGTTCTAAACGAATAGCAAATTAGACCACAAATGCCATGATTTCTGCCAGGCTTCTCAGCAAAAACAGCTGTCAGCCGATTTGCCAACGACTGGATTAGGCTATCAGCCCTATTCCCAGAGACAAATTACAAACTCATCACATGATTATTATCCCAACTGTGTCAGTATTTAGGCCATAACAATAGAAATGACAGTTGTCATCATAATAATGCTTCAAGTGAGGTTTTCTTGCATAATTTTAGGCGAAATAGTTAAGGAAATAGTCATGCGATGTGTTTTGTAAGTGGCTTGGAAATAAGGCTGCATAGATGAGTTCAAAATGGGAATAAAAATAGCCGAGTTTAGGTAACTTATAGAATATAGTGCCTAAAGGTATGCTACATCCTTATTCACCCTAGACCAAACCATGGTGAAATTATACAGTCATGAGCAAAAAAATTGCATATAAGCAGAAAATTGTAGCCCTTCTCAAAAATTAAATTCTAGAACTGAAGTAATAACTTTGTGGCATGGCCAAATACCTTGCCGCATAACCCAAAAACTTTTCGGGAATTAGCTTAAAGGCACAAATATGTAGCGCTTAAGCGCGCTCTTTGCGGGTATTGCATAACCTTGAGCGCAGTGATCGGACTTCTACCACATTGTGGTAGATCTGCCACTTTTTTGAGCATCTACCACATCTACCACATTAGATCTGAAATCTACCACATATTCGCGTTTTTGAGTAGTTTTATTTTTGCTCGACATAATTTTCTTAATTTCAAGAGCAAAAATTGTCCAACACTAAACACTAACAACAGGCAGAATTGGAGGATAAACTAAACTGTAAAATAGTAATTTTTTTCAATATTAAATTTTTCGTCATCAAACGTGGTTTTATTGTGTTAAATTGCAAAATATATGATTTATAAAAATAATTAATAGCGAAAAAAATAAAAACCGGCGATTTTTGTGAAAGTATTAGCAAATTTCAGTGCATCTAAAATTTCTAAAGCGTTGTTTACTTTTACTTGAGAATTGTCAAAATCGGCAAATCCCAAGTAGCGGTTTCTGGAACGAGCCACATTTTTTCGCTACGTCGTGATGTGATAACAAGTAATTTTTAGCAAAAAAAAAACCGACTTCAACTCTCATATAAAAAAAAAAATAGATCATGATCCGCTGATCGGATCTTAACCAGATTAGTATGGCACCACCTCTGAGACACTACTTTTCCGATGCAAAAAAAATTATCGAAATCGGTTAACGTGGTCCAAAGTTATGCGGTAACATACATAAAAAAAAACAAAAAATATTCCGACGAACTGATAACCTCCTCCTTTTTTGGAAGTCGGATAAAAAGAAAAGCTAGCAGCACTCCGCAAGGTTGCAGAAATCTTTCAAAATAGCTCCGATCCAGTACTCCATGAACTTACAGGTTTTTACACGTACTTGCAGGAAGTTATAGGAAAAACATTCCCGTACCCCGAAAACCTGTAAATGAGAGCGATTTTTGGAGAGTTGTGTAGAAAATGAAGTTGCAAGATTTTACCCGAACTTTTTACATAAATGTAAAATAATGAAGTGTCAAGCGATCAGCTGTTTGACGTTTTTACAGGGATTTTACACGAAAAGTATTGGATCAGAGCTAATATGTTCGAAACTGTCAAGGAAAAAAATTGCCAAAACTCAACGCAATTTTTAGCAACTTCAATCTTGCACTTTAATATACTAAAATTAATTTTGTTTTAGATTCTAGTTAAAATGTTGGCAATTTAGGTGAAACCTTGTAGAACTTTTTTAGTTTTTGTACACAGTTTGATCTAAATCCTGAGATCTACCACAGATTTTTGAAATCTACCACATTTTTTTCCAGATTCTACCACACAAATTTTTTTTAAGTCCGATCACTGCTTGAGCGTACAGAAGTGGTAACTGATGGTTATCTACAAAATTTTAAAAGAAATTATTTAATCCTGGTTCTTTACACCCTCTGAGTTAATCAGCTCGCCACAATAGGGCGTTGGACTAACACTGCTTGCGAAAGTTTTTTCGTTTTTCTTACTTAAAAAAAACAAAACATACGTTTCTTAGACCCACAACGCTTGATCATTTCTTACATGTAAACAAAACTTGCTCCCAATGCTAAGCACGACTTAAAATTGCTTATTGTGGAATTTCATCTAAAAATCTTTAAATTAATTAAATAGCTTAGAGTGTTTTTTTTTACTTTAATTCAGGAAAACTAAAATAGCTATTACAAAAGTTGTTTAATCGTTTTATAGAAACTTACGACTCCTTTTTCATGTTTTTAAAGCGCACATCTACAAATCCAGCGCTGAGTGAAAAAAAATAACAAAAATTTGTGAATTGTGAATTAAAAAAATGCAAACAAATTCTGAATTGAAAAAGAAAGAAAAATTGTAAAAACCCCAGTAGACTTAC